ATAATAGCTTTTTGTGATTTTAGTTTACTTCTGATTTACTTTCTTTCACCGACAAAGATTCGAAAGCAAACTTCACGCTCAATCCTAAAATCGAACACAAGTTCCATTAATTATTTTATTTAATACTGTGAGGGAAATTCTCTATTTAGTATTTAGTTGAAGAGTCGAAATTGCGATGACCTTTTTCAAAAATTCCAAACGCATTTTTCCTTGTTACGAAGTCGCTAAGCTATAAAAACAATCGTGAGCAAAATAGTATATTCTTATTTATATTTTTCGATATGCACTTTTAAATATCTATTCTTATTATATGTGCATACGTAGAGCAGCTAACAGTGTTGCTTAACAGGTTCGTTGCTTAAGTCTTTTATGCACACTAACGCATTACGGCAATGGCCGCCGGCAAGACACGTCTCAATATAATTACAACACCCACAGCTAATATTTGCTGCTAAACGCTTAAGATTAAGACAAGATTTTGTTGTTTATACAAGAATGTGTTGCATGCGCCTGGAATTCGTGCCACCAACAGCAGCGTACATGCTTTCGTACGCAGCAAGTAATTACTTTTTGCCCGCAACACATCAAAGTCACTCACAATTCAGCGCTCAAACATATATGTATGTGTGAGTGTGTGTAGGCAGCAGACAATTCAATTAAGTAACTGTAAACATGCAACATGGAATCGCCTTGAGTGGAAAGAACGTGAAATTAGCGAAAAACAGGCAAACAATTCAATTTTCGCAGGACCTCACACACGCACAAAAGCCGAGGCAAAGCAGCAATGCTGGGAAAATCGTATTCACAACAATAGTTTAAGTATTTATCACAGCCAAAATTTTTTTAATTTTTTTACATTCTTGAATTTTTTTTCCATATTTTTATTATTATTATTTTTGTTTTGTTGAAATTTTTCTAAAATAGTTTCACACAACTCAAAACTTGAAATGTTTATTAAAAAGGAGTGCTAGCGGCGGCAACTCAAAAACCAACAGACTAGTTGTCTGCATTTGTTGTTATAGTTGTGGTAGCTTAAATGGTAGTGCTTACAGGCCTTCACGCACTTTTTCTAGGAAATTCAATTAAGCGCTTATATTACAACACTACCATATAGCAACATAGGCTGCGCATCTTTCGGGCCAACCCACCAGCGCACCAAAACCACAACCATAAAATTAAATAAGCAAGAAAAAACAACAAGAAAATCAAACCGCCAACAACACTATGAAGGAATGAAACGGAAACCTTTAATTAAAATTCACTTCTATGCTGTTTGCGCTACTTTTCAAAAGAAGGAAGAGGAAACCCTGTTTACATGTGTAGCTAGTGTGTGTGCGCTGTATTCGGTGTTCTTTTAGGTGTGGCATGACTGACGTGGCCAGTCAAGTTGTGTTCACTGAAAGTTGAAAATATATTCCAAAGTTCGACTTGACAGCACCGCTGCTGAAACAGTTGTTGTTGCTGTGGCTTCAGTGAAGTTGGCAGCAAATAGCTTTTGAATTGCGCATAGTGTTGTTGGCGGCGAATGTGTGACGGTGATTTTGCTGAAATTAATTTACCATGTTTGTTTGGTAAATCAGCAAAATAATGAAAGGAGGATACGTGTATATGTAAAATGAAGGTAAAAGTACGAAATATGAAGACAAAAATATTCATAAAATTACGTCAGCAGCTTTTATTCTTTAGCAGCTTTTAACTTTTTTTTTAATATTTCTTTCTAATATTAATTATATACGATAATGTGCATAGAGACAGTAAAGAGAGCATTGCTCCTGGTTCTATGACATGTGAGCTGCCTTAGCTCTAGTGCTGGTTTTTCAACCAATTTTCCGATGCCAACTAAGTATGTCCAGGCTCTTGAGCCACTAGAAAGAGAGAATAGAAGGGATAGATACACAAACAAATTTTTTTTATTGCCTTTTCGGTGATAAGATACTTACAAGCTTCTCTTTCAACTACCAAAGTTTTAAATATATTATATAATATAATATTAATTTCCTTCATATAAATAGTATCCCTTACTATATTCATTCTAGAACTGACGTTGTTGGTATTTAATAACTCTTTTTTAGTCGGATGTCTTACATAATTGAAAAATTTTGGAAACATTAAAAAATATCGAATATCGAAAATTTTCGATATTTTTTGTCGATAAAAAGTAATATATTTATCGATTATTTTTCAAAATTGTATATATGAGTACATAAACGTTTATAGCATTAAAAAATTATCCCTATTTTAGACAAAAGTTTCGATAAAAGTTAAACGATTTTTCAATTATTTTACGTATGTATGTAAATATCTTAAGCGATATATATCTTCAGAGCGAACAAGCATAGCTAATAAATGAAGAAAAACCATATTTTTTTAAGAAAATAATATTATACCTTGCAATAGGTCACGCTTTAGGTCACTTCCGTTGTAATATATGAAAATCGAGTTACTTAAGGACATCTTGTACAAAGATTCAAAAAATATGCAATACTAATTTTAAAATATTTTCTATTACAAATTATTTGTTACCCCCATTTCACAATAAAATCAGCAATATTATATTATTAAAAGCTTTTTTTCCTTATATTTAATTCAATTTAATTTAAAATACACACCCTATATAAAATAATAACATTTCCCCACTGAAGGTACAAGCACAAATATTGCCTCACATCAGTGCTTCACTCATTGCAACAGACACTTTTGACAATGCACGACGGCTCCTACTTCCTTGCTTGCGCGTTGTGGCTGTCATACGCTTGACCAAGTGAACTAACTGCAATTGAGGATATATGAAACTTTCAATTCTAGGCTTAGGCTGCTCTAAAAATAATTTAATTATTTTTTAATTTACCAGGTTTTGTTTATTGTACTTATACCTTTGTTCGCAGGCTTAAATAGGAATGTAATGCTTTCATATTTATATATTTGTATACTCATACATATATCAATGCTGAGTGTTATTGATATGCTAGGTATGGCAGCTAGCTGTCACAACGACACAATAGCACAGCAGGAATCAAGATGTAATTAATTTAGCACAGAAATGGAATTATACGACAATTATATATCTGGATTCAGGATTAAAGCTGAATGCTTGCTGTAATTTTTTTTTAACTATCTGATTTCTTGGAGAACGATAACCAAATAATTCTTATAAAAACACACTTTAATATTATTTGAAAATCATATTAACTTTTGCAATAGCTTAATTTACTTGTAGTTTTTATTTACATAGTAATAATATCGATAACAAAAGGCTTGATGTTTACCGATAAATACTTTTTCTAGAAAATTTTAAAAATAAAAAGATATGAAATAAATATTTTGAAGCTCCACACGGCATTTAAAGATATTGATATCTGGCATATGCCTGGTTGTATTAAAAAATTTCACAACGCCTTTTTATTGGCTGTGATTGCAAAAAAACAACTTCGTGAAAGTAAAAATATAAAAAAATATAAATAAGACCATTTTAAATTGAGACATTGGCCTAGTGACATAAGGACGTTTAAATCGAAGTATCGATAACTGATATTCAAAAATGTAATCGATAAAAAGAGGAACAAATAATTATTATTTTTGACTTGCTTTAATTGCCGCATATGATATTCGTAATATATTTTCTTAAGCCGAAATTTCATGCATTGAACTTTCTAAAAATTGTATCATAGTCTTTAGAATTGCTAAAAATTGTGTCGTAATTTTAAATGAGAATACATTTCTCAATAGATTTGAACCTCGAAGAAAAAAATATTTTAATTCTATTTATCGATATGCCGTATTTTATAAAAAAAAAACGATACTTTATTGAAATCGATTTTTTACTATCGATACTATATTTGCAATCGATTTTTTTATTTAATTTACTTTAATAACTATAATTTTTAGGTTTTCTTTTATAATTCTAATAACTCAATAAAATAATCGATACTATTTTTTCAATCGATTTTTTATTATCGATAATATTTTTTTAATCGATTTTTTAATTTTATTTAATTTAATAACTAAAAATTTTATAGCTCCTTTTTTACTTCTGAATACTCAATGACCGACTAAACTTTTATAGCTCTCCAAAATGCACATTTATTGAACAATTTCAGTTTCCTTCCATTTTTCTATGATCCACCTTGCCGACTTCATTAAATGTTGATATAGTACGTATATGTATCATTCGCAGACTCGGTTCTCTCACTTTTATGCTAATTTCCACACCAAATTATTGACTATACAATTAACACGAAAGCGTTCACCCAAAACTGAACTTAAGCTCAAATAAGCATGCACATGAACTTAGCTTTTTATTGCAAAACTCAACTTACTTGAAACAAAAAGCAACATTTTCGCAATAAAAAGGAAGATTAAACACATACATATGCACATACAAATATATTTCGATATTAATAGCAGCACACTAATAGATGCGCGCACAACTGTGGGCGTACGCCATAAAGCAGCTGGCCAACACCGTTGCTATTAACTGCCAAAAGCGCTCAAGTAACTTATTCATCGCCTTGCCAAAATGTATACTTAGTCGAACGCTTCTATATACATGCGCTTTGTTGTTGCTCAATTCTGAGCAATTGTTCTTATGCTGCTGAAGACAGCAAACGCATCTAAGCATTTCCGATTGCCAAATTTACGAATTCACTTTAGTTGGAAATTGCTTTATAATTAACGGTAATTTGCAAGCACTGACATTGATGAATTTAATGCACAGTGCTATGTGTGTGTGCGTCTGTGTGAGTGGGATTGTGTGAATTTAGCGGATTAAATGAATGTGCAACTTGCAACATTTTGGCGAACAAAAGTTGGTAATGAAAGAGAAACCATTAAAAATGAGCTCACGACTGTGACTGATTGTTAAATCTGTGTTAAAATTTTTTGCAGAAAAATTCAGATTTGCTGCCAACACAAGGAGCCAATGAATAGTTTCTCAATAAATATATGATTTTCTACTTTTAGTTAATTGTTATTGTACGAAAAACTAAAAGAGTAACACTTACTTGATTTCCACCATTCACAGTCAGCTTGTAGCCGCACCAGTCAAACTCTCATACTTCTCAACTGTCAACAAATATTTGAGATATTCATAAGTGTACGCAAAACACTTTGTTTAATCAACTTGAAATTTCCGTTGAAAATCTTGAGCTTTGTCAATATTTGTGTCTTGAACACAAAGTGCAATGGCTTACGATGTGAGATTTGGAGAAAAGATACTTTTGCTTGCATTTTAGCAAAAACAAAAACACGAAAATTATATGTGCAAAGCGAATTTTACGCGGTTGCCTGAAAAGAGAGAAGGAGAGACATTCAAATATATTTGCTTGTGATATAATACTGCTTTGCGCATGCGCAGACATCCGTAAAGGTACATCGAACAAATTAAGTTTGGTTTGCGCCATTAAAAAAATCATAAAAAATCATAAGAAATGTATATATCGATGATACTTTTGGTTAAAAAAAATTTTCACTACAAATTACATATATATTATTTATATATAACTATATATATAATATATAATCTAAATATCCATAATCCGTTGTTTATTTCACACATGCACAAAACTGCGTGTTTATACATACATATATACATGTACATTCATCGTCAAACGTTATATATAACATACAAATGTATATACTTGCAGTTCTTTGTCCCTACTCAACTTCTTGGAACACCCAGCTCGCAAATTTGACTCTCAACTGTCAATTCTTGACATTAATTTCCACAAAATCTTGCAACAAAATCAATAAAGAAGCATAAACAATGCGGTAACACAGAATTATACCTGAGTGCCGTCTTGCCACATATCGAAATTCAATACTGAGCTTGTCTGTATTTGCAGTGTTTTCGGTTTTGCTGAAGCTTTGGTGGTAATTTCGGCAATTCGGCAATTTATTTTTGTTTTCAAATCCTCTTAAAAACAAAAAGGTTAAAAAATATTCTCGAGTATAGGCAGTTGCTTTTATGGCTACTGGGTAGAAAAGCCTATACGAGGAACGAGGAAGGAAGGAAATGTTGAAGTAACTATATGATTTATTGAGTTTAATTTTATGATTTCATAGAAAATTTGAAAGAAGTAAAGATTTAAATTTTTTGAAAATTGTGGGTTCCCAATGTGACCATATGTAAACGTATACATTAGGGTGGAGCGAAATTTTTATTTTACTTAGACTGCAGCTAAAATTCGTAGATTATAAAAAAAAAAAACTATGAAAAAAAAATATGTTAAAAAAAATTTTATTTTTTTATAATCTACAAATTTTTCCCTTAGGCTAAGCAAAAAAAAACATATTTTTTTCGCTCCACCCTAGTATACATCGATTAGTTTAAGAAACTATCAAATTATGATCAACTTTGCTTTGCCAAAAATGTCTTTTTGAATTCAATTTACTACGGTATACAATTCTATATATTCTTACACAGTTAATTAAATTTCCATAAAAAATATAATAACATACATATCAATAAGAATATGATTTTGAAGCTTAGTTCGCTTGCTGAGTATTTTTCATACCATTAACTGGTATTTTTCACGTGTTGATATCTTCTATGAACGCAATTGTCAAGTTCGGGTCTGAAATGTACTAAACTCAAACCAGAAAAAAAAATGCTTAACTTTTAGTTAACAGTAGTTAGGTTCTGGTAGAGGAAAATAATGAAAGGAGGATAGGTGTATAGGTAAAATTAAGCTCAAAAATGAAAAAATAAAACTGAAATATTCAAAAAATTACCTCACCAGCTGCTCTAATTTCCATTCCTTAGAAGCTTCTAATAATACAAAATTTTTTTAAGATCTGATTATTAGTTAAATAAAATAGTTGGAATATTGTGTATGGAAGTCGTACAGAGGTCTTTGTTAATGCTACGATAATATTCAAGCTTCCTAAATTATAAACCTGGCTTTTCACTTCATTTTCGAATGCCAACTAACTATGCCCAAGTTCGTGAGACCCTAGAGAAGTTGAAATAGCAAGGATAAAAATATTTTCACTTTTTTTTTAAGTGCCAAAGTTCTTCGATCACAACATATTCAGCGGCTTTTTTGTCTAACGGAGCTTTCAATATATATTACATATGTAATATTATACAAATATTTTCGACTACAATTCATTGACTACAAACATTACTAAATTCGTACCATAACTGACGTAGTTGATATTTAGCAATTCATTTAATCAGAAGTCTTATATAATTAAAAAGTTTTATTAATTAATAATCGATATTTTCCGATAATTTTTTCGATAAAAATTAATCGATTAATTGATTAATTTTTAAATTGCCTTATATGAGTTCAGAAAAAAGTATGCAACAAATAAATCAAATATTTTATATTGATAATTTGAATTTGTTTAAGCTGAAAGCGATATTTTTAGAAGCATATATATATATTTAAAAGCGTGTACATAATTTAAATAACAGTCACATATATGTTTTATGCAAGTTTATCGGCCTACTAATGAAGCGTTAAAACCATGTCTTTAAATCGTTTGCAGCAATGCTCCTAACCTCCTTCCGATAACTCTCTCAAAACTGTGTGAGGTGAGTCTAGACCTTTCTTATGTGTGGCACAAAAGCTATTTTAACCATTTCAGCATCATCAAAGAAGTATGATTAGTTCAACGTTAATAAGTAAAAATCTTTTGTTTTTAAAATATTGCAATTAAAAAATTGTACTAATCATTTCCTGAAGCATTTCCGTTATTCTAGTGATAATATTTATTTTTAAATCATTAACCAAATACTGGCATTTTCTCATTTAAACCACAAAAACTGTAATTTCACAATATTTGCAATTAGTTGTAATGCACACAGAATTTGTTGTTAAGTTCAAATTCATTACGGCAAAACAAAATACCAAAAAAGTGAGCAATATGCACAAAAACTCACCACAAAACACTTTTACACCACAGCGCATTGTAAATAGCTGCACAGACGAAACAATGACGCCACACATGTAAACAAAACACAACTCGTGCCGGCGAAACGAAACGAAATGAACGTGAAGAAGAACAAAAGCAAAAACAAAACAGCTTAAAAGCCAAACAGCTTCTGAGCTTAGCGACCCGCAGCGAAAATGGGAGTCAAAACAAAACAGATGAACAGCGAAGCCACGTGAATTTTAGGACAACAACAAAAGCAACTGCAACAGCAATATGATGACAGCACGAAACGCGTTGTGATCAGCGCTGAGTTTAGGCAGATGACACATGTGCGAAGTTGCTCTGAGAGAGTGAGAGCGGCTTATACATAGAGAAACTTAAACGTGAGCTTAAAACTTCCAGTTGGCTCAATCCAGTCGTCATTGTGACACTGGAAAGCGCTCTTTGTTTACAAAGAACTGCACTTTGAGAACGACCAGGTGAATAAACACAGCAATTCTTCTGTGCTCTCGCGAAAACACGCTAAAAAGAGTGTTGAGATTTGCGTGCAGCCAACTTGCCAGTCTTTGCTGCTGGCACCGCTGCCACCGCTGCGGCGGTTGGCGTCATTCTGCATGCGATCTTTTGTCACTCGCTCGCTCAGCTGTGGTGAGTAGCTATTTTGGCCAAACTGCAAATTGCAGAGGTGCTTCTAATGCACTCGTGTGGTGAAATTGCAAGTATTCTTGCTTCTATTTTTGCAACAACAAGACTGAGTTGCTTGCGTGTTGTGTTGTGCTGTTGGAGATTTTTCTGGTGACAGCCATGACCATGACTACGCCAACCTTTTAGCCGCTTTATATTAGTCACGTAATGACAAAATACACCTCAGTCTTTCTCCAGACTTCGAGTGTGTTACAAGTGCTTGGTTTGTGACTCGTAAGTAGTATCGTGCTCGCGTTTGTGGAACTCTTCTCCACCGCTGACTCCCACACGTCGCGCCCGTCGAGGTCGCGGACAACGTTTTTGTTGCGGTTTTGTGTTTTTCTTCTAGTGTACAGTGTTGTAGTTGTAGCCTGACAACTTTGCAGTCTCAGCACCCCTCCACAGCGTCGTCTCTATCACGGGCACGCCGCACGCCGCACCAGCGCAAAAGAGTGTGTTCTTTTGACGATCGGTCCGTCCGTCGGTCGTGCATTCTGTTTGTTAGACGTTCGGTTGGTCGCTGTGAACGCTTGCATCGTCTCAGCCGATTGCAAGTGCAGTGCAACGTCGCACAAGTTGCACAATCAGCCGCTGGCGACACTGAGCGCCTGCGCTGACGTCGACTGCAAAGGATTTGTTTGTTAGGGCTCCAAGTGTGAACGCAAGAGCACCATTTGGCATTACGAGTCGTGATTAATGGTGAGTTCGGACGTCTAAGCGGAGTCTTGTGCAAAATAGCGAAAGCATTTCTGCGAATTCTGATGCTAGATTTGCGTTTCATGTAATTGCGTGTGCGTATGCGAGTGCGTGTTATACAGAGGTGTTTGTGCTTGCGCTTGTGTTTACTTATTATCTATGAGACATTTTAATCTGAGTGTGAAAAATGAATTGTATGCAATTAATTGCAAAGAATAATTGAGATATTGTGAAATACAACAAATATTAATTATGAGAAACGTTAAAAATAATCTGAAATTAAAAAAATAACCAGTGTGATTTTTAGTTAACTTATTTAACTGAAGAATTGCCTAAATATTTATATATATTCAGATTAAAAATTTCCTTTTAAAGTGGAAAATACAAACAAAAATTTTTCGCATGCGAGTTATATTTGCAATTTTGCTTTGCAAATACTGCAGTCTTATGTGCTATAAAGTGTTTTTTTTTTAAAGAAAAATTGCATGTGGTCCAATAAAAATTTTTTCTTAGAAACTTTTTTCTGTGAAAAAAAAATTTTGAATCACTTCAAAAGGTGGTATGGTATGAAAAGTGAACTAAGATACTAAAGTGCAAACTTTTCTTAATTTAGAATGCTAAGTGTGTTATAAGAAACTATTAAATTAATACAAAATATGAACTAATTTGATTTAATAATATTAGTTATGCAAATAATTAATTTTTTTAGACTGCAATATTTTTTTAATTAAAATTATTTTTTGAAAATTAATTTAAATTTTTTAAAATAATCGACTCCAATATTTTGCCATGAAAGTGCTGTGAAACTATATGATAATATAATATAATAAAAAAATATGAATTAAATTGATTTAATTATATTAGTTTTGCAAATAATTAATTTTTTTAAACTTCCATTTTATTTTTTAATTAAAATTATTTTTTTTTAATTTAAACTACATTTTTTTCAATAATCTACTCAAATATTTTCCCATGAAAATGTTGTAAAATTTTTTTTTAAAGAGTATAATTCTTAAAGTTATAAAAT